AGAAGAAGAAGAAGAAGAAGAAGAAGAAGAAGATAAAGGTTGGAATTTATGAGAAATTTTGACTTTTCAATTCTCATCTGACATAAATGTGGCATGGGACTCAAAGAAAATTATTCCGTACAAAATTTCGTCTATATTTAACAAAATTTTGTCCAATTTTGTCTTTGTTGTATCTCTAATTTTGTACATTTTGGAGAAATACGGAACCGTACTACATTCCCAATGTTGACTGTAATTTGGACAAGTAGGACCATTACTGTGCGCTGATCAATATTGTAGTGGAAAAGTAGTCTTGGTGGGGGGACCTTGTTTCTAGATTTTTTATATATTTTTATTTTTAGATTTTATTTCAATATTTCTAGATATTATTATTTTTTCTATTTTTTTTATAATACTCTTCATTAACACAGTCTGAAGTACGACCTTGCTACAGTTATCCTCTTAACTGGACTGCTACATCTACTATAATGTTGACTGTAATTTGGACAAGTAGGACCATTACTCTTGCGCTGATCAATATTGTAGTGGAAAAGTACTCTTGTTGGGGGACCTTGTTTCTAGATTTTTTATATTTTTTTATTTTTAGATTTTATTTCTAGATTTTATATCAATATTTCGAGATATTATTATTTTTTGAATTTTTTTTATAATACCTTTATAATTGTTACAACTACCTCTATAATCCACTACAGTCCGAACTTAGTTGTTAACACAAACATGTAAAGACTACCGCTAAAGTTGTCCTCTTAACTGGAATGTTACATCCACTACGGTCCGAAGTTAATTCTTAATACCAACATGTAAAGACTACCCCTACAGTTATTCTCTTAACTGGACTCCTACCGTTATCCTCTTAAGTTATCTTCTTAACAGGATTGCTACATCCATTACGGTTCGAACTTAGTTGTTAACACAAACAGGTACGAATTTAATACAGTTATCCTCTTAACTGGACTCCTACATCCACTACGGTTCGAACTTAGTTGTTAACACAAACAGGTAAAGACCTCTTAACTGGAATGTTACATCCACTACGGTCCGAAGTTAATTCTTAATACCAAAGTGTAAAGACTACCCCTACAGTTATTCTCTTAACTGGACTCCTACAGTTATCCTCTTAAGTTATCCTCTTAACTGGACTGCTACATCCACTACGGTCCGAACTTAGTTGTTAACACAAGCAGGTAAAGACTACCGCTAAAGTTGTCCTCTTAACTGGACTCCTACATCTACTACGGTCCGAGCTTTGTTGTTAACACAAACAGGTAAAGACTACCGCTACCGTTATCCTCTTAACTGGACTGCTACATCCACTACGGTCCGAACTTAGTTGTTAACACAAACAGGTAAAGACTATCGCTAAAGTTGTCCTCTTAACTGGACTGCTACATCCACTACGGTCCGAAGTTAATTCTTAATACCAACAGGTAAAGACTACCCCTACAGTTATTCTCTTAACTTGACTCCTACAGTTAACTGGACTGCTACATCCACTATGGTCCGAACCTAGTTGTTAACACCAACAGGTACAACTTTGCTACAGTTATCCTCCTAACTGGACTGCTACATCCACTACGGTCCGAACTTAGTTGTTAATACAAACAGGTAAAGACTACCGCTACAGTTATTCTCTTAACTGGACTGCTATATCCACTACGGTCCGAAGTTAATTCTTAACACCAACAGGTACGACCGTACGACCTTGCTACAGTTAAACTCTTAACTAGACTGCTGCATCCACTACGGTCTGAAATTAATTCTTAATACCAACAGGTAAAGACTACCCCTAGAATGAAAGTCTTAATTGGATTGCTACATGGTCCCGTCCCGCCTTTTCATGAAATGGCGGACTGGAATGTCGGACTAAATTTTCCCGTCCCGCCTATTCATGAAATGGCGGGACTCTTCTAAAAATTCTCGTCTATTACCATTTTCGTCCCTTTCCGCCTTGCTCGGCCTATATAAATACGCAACTATGTTTAGGGTTTTCCCAATCTTCTTTTCCTTATTGCCTGCGAAAATAAAAAAGATCATTATGTTCGATTTTACAGTAATCCTCGAGCATGATCCCAAGTTCAAAGAGCGATTGGTTTGTTCATTATATTTTCTTAATTTTTTTAAAGTTATATTTTATAACTCACAAATTCATTGGATCTGTTGTAGGCGC